TTGGCAAGGATGACCAAATTCTATTTTGTTCATCTCAAAAGGGTATGCGTTGGAAATTTCAGGCTTAGTTGACAAACTATCAAATAAAGATATAAATATTTTTTTCTAATTTGAAAATAGAGAAGAGAAATTTTTCGCTGGTAGATTTTAAATTGCCAAACACCTTTTCTTCAGAGTCGTATGCTTTAAAATGCTCCTACACGATGGAATACTATTTATGTTTATAAAAATGTCTCGAAGAAATTATGAACACAGAATTCGATAAAAAAACTATTAATCAGACTAAAGAGTTGATAAATTTTGAAAGACAGATTTTAGTTTCTGGTTATTTTTCTTCAGCAAAATAATGCCAAATTGCGATATACTTTTTGATCAACTGCAAAGTAGACAGCTCGATGCTCTCAAGGTTAAGATAAACATATCAAATTTTTCAGCAGCTATTCAAAATATTAGAAATAATATAGACACGCTAATTCATGAAGAATGGCAATCACAACAAGACCCACAAGAACTAAACTTAAACGACAACATTCAATCAGGTCCAAGTACAAGCAAGAAGAGACGGTTTGTTGAAAAGGAGGACCCCATTCCTAATTTAAGGATATGTAAGGAAATTTGTGATACAATAGTAGCGCAGGTAAATGAATGTTTTAGTTTTACTAACCACCTAACAATTGCAAGTTTATTTGATAGTGAAAAATTTAAAGACTACCGAGGTTGTTTTCCAAATGAGGACGTTAAAACTGTGTGTAGTTTATTTCCAACGTAAACAGCTTAAAATTCAAAAACGAACTGTCCATACTTTACACCCGAGATGACTTTGTGCAACACAATGGGGCCGTACCGTTATTACAAATGTTTTTTGAGAACAATTTGACAATTACATTTTCGGAATCTGTGGAGCTGCTTACTATCCTGTGTACAATTCCCATGACCACAGTGGAGAGTGAAAGATGTTTTTTGACACTAAATGTTTTAAAACATTTTTAAGGAACACTATGTGCCAAGATAGAATGTGCGCGTTAGCCATGTTATCCATCGAAAAAAAAAACTTATTCGGTTCATTCCAAATTTTAATAATCTGGTCATCGATCACTTCGCTAGCCAAAAATCCAGAAGAATGGACTTCAACTATAAGAAATAGTATACAACTGCAGCGGTACCTAGCAGCAATTTTGTAATATTTAATTTGTTTTAAAATATATTTTTTATTTTCATTAAGCGGAGAACTTGTTTTCCTAAGGGAAAAACGAATCCCGGGATTCCTTTCCAGTGTGTGCCCCACTGCCGCTAGTGCCCACGAGCCGCCACTGTTCATAGGTAAATAAAACTATTATATTTATAATAATTTATTAATAAATCTAACTATTTAGTCGAAACAAACTGAAACAATTACTAATAAACACACAATCATATAAGAATACAAATGACATTTTTCGATTAAATGAGAAAATTGAAGTGAATTATAAAGATTATTACTAAATTTAATAATATTCTTGTTATTTAAGGATTCCTACAGAATTACAGCTTTTGGGAAAATGGCTAAAGAGTATGGATATGAACAATTTTAATGTTGTCAGTGCAGGAATGCGATTATGTTCAGACCATTTTGAGCTATTAAGCATTTATAAAATAAAAATGAAACTCTGTTGGTAATGCATTTAAAAATATTACTTTATATCCTTCTTACATTAATAAAAATATAACAAGAAATATACATGTTTATTTTTTCACCTTTTCCCATGATTTCCTATATTTAATTTAAAATATATATAACTTAATAGTTGCATAATTGCAAAAATTATGTAAAGCCTTTAAATTAATTCTTTATTTAATTGTAAATTACATTCTAATAGTCTACACAAAATTTAAGTCATAACAGTATTTTTCTAAAATTCTACGACTGTAGTAAAGATTGTTAAAAGTAATTTTTTTTTTAAACAATTTCTGAATACATATAAGTATGAATTGCGCACATTTCAATATGGTTTGTATAGTGTAAAAATAATTAGAGAGACAACAAAAAGGACATGTATTAACCTGGAAGAGTTACAAATACTTTAGAACGGATCATTTATCTGCTATTTATATAAATAGTATCGGATGGCATTACTATGATATAAACAATAAACGTTCATTCATGAAGACGCAATATGCTTGACGTTTCCATTTTTATCTTTATTTTCTTTCATAAAAAATCAAATTATGGATGAATTGTCCCGAAGGACATTGTCCGCAAAAGGAATAGAAGAAGAATAAGAAGAAGAACTAATCAAATTATAAGTTAGGTACCTATGTCAAATTATCCCGCCATAATTTGCCCAAATCGGCCAGCAGTGTTGTACTTCCGGTCTCCTTGATGGAACGCATTTTTAGTACAAGTTCATCAAATTTCTAGAGGCTTTCGACGGCTAGACAGAGAAAGCACTACTGACAGGCATCCCGACGGATTTACGCAATGAAAGTACACTCTGCGCATCAAGTATTTCACTATTTCATTCAGACGTAAATGTCAGAAGTAAATTTCGCTAAAACATTTATTTTATTTTCGTTTGTGTTTTTTGCTCATTACAGTTTAATAGAACCTAAGTATGGAGTTTAATAGCAAATTAAGAGGCCGCGTGATTAACAGTCAATCTCGCGAAATAATAGCCAATGTTATAGAGTTTATGAGAAGAGAAGGAAACTTTAATTCACCTTCAATACCATTTAAAAATGTAAATGATCGTGTTGCTGCAGCCACAGGAGTATCTAAAAACACTGTCGTCCGCATTTCTGGAGAGAAAAAAAGAATCGATAACCGTGAGATATCGGAATTTTCATCACCAAGAAAAACCATTAAAAAACCAAAAACAGTTAATGATATAGATGAAGCTGCACAAGAATCAAATTTTATTTTTTTATTATTAGATAGCTATTTTTGTTTCTGAGTTGTGTTCATTTACAGGCTCAATTTTTTTCCGTTTCTCCTTTTTGATTTTATATGGGGTTTCAAGTTGTTTTTGACTTATTTCGACGTAAATCACAACAACACACTTTTTTAATAAAGCAAACAAGTGTTAAGAGGTATATGTACGTGTAAACTACAATTACAAAAAATTGATATGAAACCCATGAAACCACCAACAAAAATGTAAAGCTAGCTTCCGTACTAGAACATGGTGTCATTCGTCGAGATAATTTATCGTTTTGTTTAATAGATCAAGAAATGTAAATATTCCCCTGTTATTTTTTTATAAAATTATAAGAGAAATAAATTTTTTTCTAAATAGTATAGTTTATTATTTTGTAGAAAAGCAAAATTTCGAAAATTTTAGTAATGTTTCAGAAACAACCGTTATTAATAATAGGTACCATTTTCCTTAATAAGGTAGAAATAAAATATAAACTATTTCCACGATTTACAAAGGCCTACAAAAAAATTATAGGTATTTTCCGCTATCCTATAAAATTTATATTTTCTGACTCAATTTCAAAAGGTTGAAGGAATTCCAAAACACCTTTTATGGCATAATAATTATTTTCAATTCTACATACTATCTTTAGCTGCTTTTAAAAACGTTCTAAGAAAGTCCAATCAGACCAATTTAATCCCTAAACTATTCTACACTTTTAAAATTTAATTACCTAAAAATATTAAAAACTATTTAAAATAACTTGTTTAGCAGACTGTACAATAGCTATCTTAGTCACACGTAGCGCGTTCTCTGTCTGGGCGTCGAACACCTCTAGAAATTTGATGAACTACCTTAAGAGAGAGTCCATTAAAGAAAATGAAATCCAGAGATATGCCAAAAAAACAAGAAACTAAATTAATACACATATCAACATCGACATGCTTCAGACCTTCGACCAAAATGAAACAAAAATAAGATTGAACAGGATCTTTTGCGAGTTGTGAAATTATTTCAAAAGCAGAGTACAGTAAACCAAGACAACAGTTGTTACGCCAATGCAGTGGCGTAACCAGAAATTTTTCAAGGGAGGTATTTCTGAGAACAAATAGTTAATAGCGATCAGCGCCAATAACATAGTGGAAACGGTGACTCGAAGGCAGTCCATGGGGGGAAGGGGTTTCTGACTCTCAAAACCCCCCCGTGGCTACGATTTAAGATTTAGTTCATTTATGTCAAGATAAAATTACTGATAGATCGATTTAAATCAGGTATGCAATACAATGTCAATTAAAAAAAAACGATGTAACAGTCTACGTCTACAATTTTGGAACTCTAGATATCTAAAATAGATTGAAATATAATTTAATTTCTTAACCCTATGTAATTTTATGTTTTTATTCATATTTTTTGATTCATTGAAACTTAATTTGCACTCACGGTGGACTTGAACATGAGATAAATGCGAAGTTCTAGCACCACCGATTTTCTTTCGGCATTCGATTCCCGGAGTCATAAGAAGGTTGGAAAAAAATTCCACCGTAAGCCTTAGAGTCGATTTTGAAAAATCGACTTTTTTCAATGAATAATGCAAAGATACAAAAATAGGCATTTTTGTATCTTTTTGGTAAAAATGTGATATCCAAAGACTCCCCAATCGAAGATCAGAGACAGACAAACCTTTTTCTGGATCCACCCCAAAAAAAAAACTCAGCAAGCACTTTTTGACGGGAGAAGGAATGATAAAAAATTTAAATTTTGATCATTGGACTGATAATTTTAATGAAAAAAATTGTTTAAATAATGATTGTACAAGAATGAATAGTTTGATAATTGTGAATTAATGTCTGAAGTAAAGAACAGTAATACAGAAAACGAAATTCTTGGCTTTTTAAACAAATCAACTATTGAGTCACAGTTATGTTAGTTGTTGCTAAAATGTCTTAATATGGATGGATATATACAAATATATTACGATGTTAATAAAAATTTGAAGATATCCATCTAATAGATTGAATAACATTTAATAGCATATTTTGTTAAGGTTGAATATGACGATTTTTTTCAACTATCTAAAAGTATATTAATAAAAAAAATTGTATCTACCTGAGCTACCACCTGTAACCAATGCTGTTTTTCCAACCAGACAAACACTGCTTTCACAGTCAACATAACCAAATTTAAAAAATATTGCAAGATATAAAATAATTAAAAATACCAAGCTTATTATTATAAAACCTAATATCGACATTATGTTAAATTGTAAACTTATAACAACAGTTACATTTCTAATATTTATTTTTATTTGGCTTTTCTGGTCCAAAGTCTAGAGACAACGAAGTTATCAGTAAATTAAATGCATTGCTTATAAATAATGTGTACATATAAATCAAACTATTAACATTTAATTGATAAAGATTGTTGAACATTCACGTTTACTAATATCATAGTTTCCGCCAGGATGGGAATAAACGGGACAAAGGTTGCATTTGCCCCGTAGCAAAGGGCTTCGTTCTTATAAAAAAATTGTACTCAGTACTCAGTCAGTATTCAGTACTTAAAAAGTATATTGACTGGCCATTTGCACCACTCACAGGGCGTCGCGGTATAGATCTACCTGGACAAAAATCCTCAGTCCTAAACCACCAATAGTTTTGGAAAAAATGTGGGATATACAGGGTGTCCCGAAATTAGACGGTCATATTTTAACAGCATAATCTACATCCTGAAATAGGAGTAAAAGTTCATATAAACATAGGTCCGAAAACATTTATTTTCCGAGATACAGGGTGTTAAAAGTGAAGTCCTGATGACACTCTTTTGTAAATATTTTCTAAACGTTTAAAGATAACTAAGTAAAATTTGGTACAAATGCTAACCTTTTTATGCTCTATCTAATGGACTAAACCCCAGTTTTTGATCATCTTCATAGGTGGGTAAAGTAGGGGGGCTTAGGGTAAGATTGCCCTAAGTTTTTTTTGTTGACAGTTTTTACCATTTTTGACTATAAAATTTGTTGCATCTCGCTAGGACGCACCATTTTCAAGAAAAAAACATTTGAAAATTTCAAGATAAGTTATTCGAAAGTGTAAACAATAATTAGTAGGCCTGTGAAATCAGCAATTTAATTTTTTTTTTTTTACTTTGGAAAACCAGTGACTAAAGAAATTTTAAAAAATATTTACAAAAATAGGCCATCAGGACTTCACTTGTAATACCCTGTATCTCGAAAACGAAACGTTTTTGGACCTATGTTTATATGAACTTTTATTCTTATTTTAGGATGTAGATCACGCTGTTAAAATATGACCGTCTAATTTCGGGAAACCCTGTATTTATATGACAGACTATTATTAATGTACAAATGAAAAAAATATGGTACCAGACATACAAGGTGTCCCAAATAAATATTTTTTTAAGAAATTAAATACTTATAACTTGTTATTTGTACATACATATATTTTTAAAGATTAGACATCTATAACTTGAAAAATATCTACTTTTTATTTATATTTATTTAAATTTAATAATAATACGTAACAAACTATAAAGAAATAGAACTAGAAAACATTCATAAATTAAAAGAAACTATATACAAGTTTATTCACTATCGCTAGCTGAAGATTCATTTTCGTCACCGCTTATGTCTATAGGATCATAGGTATATCTAAGTTGTTATCATATATTACAGGCGAATCGATTATGTATTCGTTGATACTACTGAGATTTTCGTCGAAAAATCGAAAAATCGAAAAATCGAAAAATCGAAAAATCGAAAAATCGAAAAATCGAAAAATCGAAAAATCGAAAAATCGAAAAATCGAAAAATCGAAAAATCGAAAAATCGAAAAATCGAAAAATCGAAAAATCGAAAAATCGAAAAATCGAAAAATCAAAAAATCGAAAAATCGAAAAATCGAAAATCTAAAAATCGAAAAATCAAAAAATCGAAAAATCGAAAATCTAAAAATCGAAAAATCGAAAAATCGAAAAATAGAAAAATCGAAAACTCGAAAAATAGAAAAATAGAACAACGGTGCGGCGTTGAAAGCCGTGCATCTTCTAACGTCGTTTCAGTTCGGCAGACTTCGGCACGGTGTTTGTGTGCGTGCGACTAGACGTATGCGTGTAAACTAGCTGCTAACTGCTCAATTTGAAAATGAATAATGATCCACAAGAATCCACAACAAAATATGGGACCACCATTGACGCGGTATTTTCCAGATATTTAGAGGATATCAAGTCTCAAACTTATGTTTCTTATTTCAGTTACCATAAACCTATAGTTTCAATGATAAAAACTTCTGAATAACCTACATGTATTATAAGATAATAAAGATATTTTAAACAATATTGACTTCTTATTTATTCAATAAAAAAAAAATTGTTTTCTTATCGGTCACCACGCTCAAAAAGTGTAACTTGAATTAATATCAAAGAAAAAACTTGAATTAATATCAAAGAAAAAAAAATATTGCATAAATAAAATAAATAAATAAATAATTATAATTGCATAAGTTGATAAAAAATGCAATAGCTTTACCGCAGCAGTCCCCGAGTGCCACACGTATTTTATTTATTTTTAATAATTTTTCATGTGAAAATGGACGATCAAATATTAAAATTTTATTTACAAAAAATCTTACCTTGGTTGCAAGAAGGCTTGTTAAACTCTCAATAACTGATGTTATTAGACTATGTGTAATTTGACGTTCATGTTATTAAGTCAGATATAGGTTAGATATACCAAAGGCGGCTCCAAGACGAATTTTCGGGGGGGGGGGGGGGGGAATTGCCTTTAGCCATTCCCTTTTTAGCATAATTTTTTATATAAAAGGCTCATAAATGGTAAGAATGTTTATCTCGGAGGAAGGGGGGGGGGGCTGGCCCCCATAGCGCCCCCCCCCTTGGAGCCGCCCTTGGGATATATACTGTCAGGTTCAGGCGAAAGAATCGACGCAAACCTTATTCTTATTTTTGTTTTAACATTTGAAAACACCTTAAATTTTCATTCTCTATCAGACTTCAACTAGCTAGACCTCATCATGATATCATCTAGATCCACAATACACAGACTAACGGTATATTACTGCGCATGCAGCTGACTGACGGTGACGTCACGTGGGATATAGATAAGCATTAAATGCGAGATAGTATTTAAAATTCGATATTTAAAATTTTATGCAGTTACTTAAGTTTTATTGGTTATTTTGAAATATAATACTAATAAAAATATAAATTTTTCTCATAAATTATAGGTATTTTGTAACAAAATCCATAACCTGGCCAGAAGATACGTAAAACATATGGAATAAAAATACAAGTTTGAGTCAAATTTGTACTTTCTGGTCATGGTAGTTCTCTTGCAATATCTTTTCTCATTATGTGAAATAAAAATAAGTGTGCAGAAACAAATTATTTATTAATAAAAAATAATTACGCAAAAACAATACTTTTTATTTGGTAAATTTAAAATTTTTTTGTCAAGTTTACTTTGAAAATACTCAAAACCAATTTTTTTGTTCATTTATCTTATTCTTATAAATGTTCGTGTCCTGCTCATGCATGGCATTACTTCAAAAGGACCGTTGTATTGTGACAGGACACTACTGTTTTATCTGCTAAAATTTTTAAATACCGATTTATTTTCTTTGCTTAATGAGGCCCCTGCATCTGGTGGAATTCAGTTTTCTTTTCTTGCGTCTATGTTTAAGAGGAATCTCACAACTACTTTCCTCAAAGTGGATAGGGCAACTTCAATTAAGTTTGTCCTTTTTTCGATAAGAATTTACGCATATTTTGTGGCATTCGGATATATATCCACCGCGCAGCCCGTAATTTTAAACATTAATTTAGTTCTTTCCTGTTATATATATAGGAAAATATGAAGAAAAATATAGTCACTACTAACACAAAAACAAATGAATTATTAAATTATTTTACACTATTCAATCGAAAAGTGTCAAATTAACTTGAAAGTTCGTCCCGCATTACGTCATGCGCGGTTTGGACGAATTTTGAATCGAAAGTCAGCATACCTTTAATATGTGTATCGTGATCTAGATCCAATTAACAGTAAAAGGCTAGTCATGTTGTCACTGCAAACGTCTAGAAGACATTTATAATTTAGTTTAGAACACAAATATTTAAAAAATATTTTTTTAAACAAAGCAACAAAATGATCATTTCTGCGTTTACTAAATTTAGGACATCTAAACCAACGCAAATTCCTGGTTTGTGTTTTAGAACTTTTAATACTTCACCACAGGTAAGCTTATTCAAAATTTAGGTTTTTTTAATTATATATCTTCAAAAATTATTAAACGCTGGTAATTATACTTTCAATTAAATTTTTTGTTCAGGCACATTTAAACTCGTGAAGCAGTTGTTTTAAAATTTGATTATTTTTATATTTCAGATAAATAATACATGAAACCAAAAACAAATCAACTTAGGTGTTAGATAGTAACAAAATCAATCTTTTTATTAATTAAATATCTACATTAAATTACAAACTAGAACACAAAATATAGAAAAAATCTTAGAACATAGAGAAAAAAATATACTTCTTAATAATTTTAAACCGAGCCCGATTCTTAAACGGTATTTATAGCAAACAAAATGTGTTTTTGTATACGAACCATCGATTAAGAATTGATTAATTTCATGATTTCATAGTGATAGTAGAATGTAGAATTGCAGCTATGGAGTGTAGAGATATAGTATATCTGCTACAGCTTTATTAAAATTAATTTTAGAGCAAGCATATGTTTAATTTTCGCCGAATTTTCTTCAAAAACTCCGTAATGCGCATTCGTTGTAGTGCCGCTAAATATGGCAAAGGTGGCACTGGTGGTTCTACGGCACCGCCAAACCCACTCTTGTTTTATTTAGTGTAAAACAAAATCTTTCTTCTAAGGAAATCATAATAAATTATATCTAAGTTATCTAATTTTTTCACACTGCTGTTGTTACAACTACTAAATACCCCATCTGTCTGGCATATCCTAAATCAATAACACTATAGTTAGTTAAAAACAGTCATTTTTACCACTGTAGAACTTACCTTAAATAACACTAAGTTGATTTACGAAAATACTCTTTTTAAAAACACTTACACTATACAAACGTATAAACAACACAAGAATTTATAAATACTGGTCCAGAAATGAGTTAACACAGTAAAATTCTACGTTAATTTTTTTTATTAATTTACAGAAATAAAAATGTACTTTAATTTAATGCATATCATCTTTCTAGAATAATTTCCATGTTGCTGTACTTGGTGCAAGTGGAGGAATAGGCCAGCCTCTTGGTATGCTGTTAAAAGTAAATCGACTAATTTCCAAATTGACTTTATACGATCTTCAACATACTATGGGAGTTGCAGCTGATTTGTCTCATATTGAAACTCCTGCTAAAGTTAAAGGGTAAGATTTTAGAGCAAATAAACAAAACTAATAATATGAAAAATGTAACCGTTGATAATGTTGAAAAACACAAAATTATAACCCAATTTTTTCCCGTGAATTTTAAGTAACATTGAAACTTTGCTTAATGTGTCTCTCTAATTAATAATTAAACAAAAATCTATGAAGTGATTGTAAAAGTGGATGGAAAAATAAAGAACTCCATAAATGATCGACATAATTGTTGGCTACTTACATCTTAAGAGGGAAGGATGAAAGTTAAAATATATGTAAACTATACCTAGGTACTTATAAAGAATAAATGCTTCTGCTTCAATGTAAAAAAATCATTAACTTATTATATGAGGAGAAATAACCAATAAGAGAATACCTGTGTAAAAAAACATAGAACAACCTTAATTTTATAGTCCCGTCTTTATATATAAAATTACGGTGTGATTCGTGATTCTTCTGCTCCTAAACGGCTTGACCGATTTCGATGAATTTTTATTTTAATACTTATGAGTTTACCTGGATGGTTATTAGCTGTTGTCGCTGATCTAAGTATGTGGCAAGACGTCTGCATACCGGGTAGAGTTGGTACGAATCCTCAAAAAATTGATTCGAATCACGAATCCAAATCACGAGATGTGATTCGAATCACGGATCCAATGGCCAAATCCTTTTTGCAATAAAAAAGGATTCGAATCAAGTGATTCGAATCCATTTTTTCTGATCACGAATACGAATCACTATCAGTGTCGTACCATAGTATTATGCATGCTTCCAAATCTAATATCAATATCAACTATGTGTCTATTACGGACTATGACTTGCATACAAATGGTTGATACAAGAAAATGTTGAAAAAAACATTGTTTTCTATAAATATGAACCATAAATAAATTAGAATCTACAAACAATATATTTTATTTTAATGCAAAAAACAAAATAATAAACAATGACTAAATATATTTTAAGAGCCTAAATAGCTTAAACATGTGACATAAGTAGATGTTTCCAGAAAAAAAATAAACCAAGGTGCTCTGTTAACTATGTTCCAACAACAAAGTATTATTTAAAAATAGCAATTTTTAGTAAAGTTTTAAAATATTTATTTTAAAATAGTATTATTTATAAATAGCAATTTTTTAGTAAGTTTTAGAATATTTCTTTAATTTTACCAATTTAAGGTTTGCAAGTGTTGCAAATCTTTTTATAATAAATAACTTTTTTTTAACTAATAACAAATGTTTTCCATATGATTCTAATTTTAAGTACAGAAAGTATAAAGCATTTAGTAACGTTTAACCAAATAATAAATCATTGAGATTATAAAATTGTTAGAACTGTATTTCCTTAATAATAATTTTAGGTTAAGGTAGTGGCTTCTTCTTCTTCTTCTTCGTCTTTTCTTTTAATGAGCTGTGTCCATGAGACAATTTACCCAGCTAACTCTTCAGGGACTGTTTTGTCTTGCTAGAGGCAATTAAACAATCCCCATTTTTACATTGTTTCTTGATTAATTTAAAAGGAAATTTCAACCAACTTAATTACTTCACTTTTTCAATCTTCTTTTAAGGGTTTGGTAGTTAATAAAGGTAAACAGTACAACAAAGGTATTAACTTTTCTCGCTTAGGGATAGCAGCTAAGCTTAACATACCCAGAAATCCTACCAACGGAGATAGTAAGAGCACCCAGGACTAAAAAGAAAGGAATTTTGGTAATTATAGGTTAATTTTAAAAATATTGAGGAATTTCATTATTAATTTTAATCTGACTTCATTGATATTGGAAAGGATTACACATATATCAAAAGGAGTGAAAAGGTTGGATTTTGTTAATTCTAGATACAAGTCAAAGTCTGGGGTAGTATTAATTGGGCATTGAAGAATAATATGATTTAGCGAGCCAACTTGGCCACACTCACAATAGGGGTTATCTTTAATTCCTATACGGAAAAGGTGAAAGGGGGTGAGACAGTGTCCTGTTCTCATTCGGATAACAGTAGTCAAGTGTCTTCTATTAATATATGAGAATCTATTGAACCATGGAGATGGGGACAGTTGATTAACTATTTTAAAATAGAAGGAAGGATTTTTGTTATATTTTGTTAGCCAAGCTGTTGACCAGTTAGCCCAAAGTTGTTTTTTAACAAAAGGTAGGAAGTTAGAAAAATGCAAGTAAATTTTTGTTGGGACATTTAAGGAGCGTCCTATATTTGCAAGTTGATCAGCTTTATTGTTGCCAAGGATACCCGAATGACCCGGAATCCAAACTAATATAATATTAATGTCATTTTCCTCAGCTAATAAAATACCTCTTTTTGTAAGGAAAGAGCAGTGTTCTGTTTCTTTTGAAAAATGAGATTTACCAATTTTTAGGAGGGCACTCTTCGAGTCAGAAAAAATAATAGAATATTGAATTTTTTCTTTTAAAATGACTGTAATGGCATGATTAATAGCAGCAATTTCTGCCGTACAAATTTGTGTTTGGAAGTTTAGAGGAAAACATGTAATCAAGGTCAGGAAAAAATATTCCAAAACCAGCCTCTCCTGATGAATCTATAGACCCGTCAGTAAAGAATTTAGTGTACTGTGGAAATTTATTTAAAATACTCTGAAAATCAGCAAGATTAAATTTATCTTTTGTATTATTTATATTTAGGATTTTTAGGCTTTCCAATTGAAGATCAAGTTCATATTCATGACAGGGGAGCAGATCACTAGCAAATAAACTAAAAGAGTGAGAGTGTATTTGTGAACGTGAAGATTTGCTTAATCAAAACTTTGATATAGCATAGTCATATTAAGATTATCGGTTTTAAATCATATTCATTTTGATTCTTACACTTTGCAGAAATAAAAACTGCTGTCACTATACATTTTTATTATATTTTAAAAGCTCTTTTTATATTATATATATTGGAAATATAATTTAAAATGAAATATTAAATTATGTACCTTTATATATCTGTCTTATTGCAAACCGAACATTTTTCTTTCCTAAAGTACCAAGCCAAGTCCAAATGACTATTTTAATGAAAAAGATTTCGTACCTAACGCTTGTATGTTTTGATCGATTAAACTGTAAACACGTAAAAGTTCTTGACCAGTGTGAAGATAGCAGCCAATTTCAGCAGCCAAAATTTCCGGAAACGCACGATTGGATATTTCAGTGACGTACAAGCTAAATATAGCAAAAATTAAAAAAAAATTAAATATCCCAAAAGACAACGCTTTAATAAGTTTAATAAACTTACATTTTATAATTTTCATTGTATATTCATAATTTTGAAGTAAACTGAGCATAAAAAAATGATAATAAAAATGATTCAGTATTTTAGTTTATTTTTGGCAATTAAATAGCAAATGACAAGTAATACCGCTTTGTTGCCATGTTGAACAATATTCGACGAAATTAAATATTGCAAAATAAAATTATTTAATATTTTTCGAACTTTCTAGCTGATAATTTCATCGAATTTTTATAGTGGTTTCATAATGGGTTCAATTGGGATATTCCTTTTTTAATCATTTTGGGAGCTTTTCTAATTATTTATGCGCGTATCGTATGTCTCAACTCGAGCGGATTACTTAATTTTTCGTATTTGGGGCCTTTTGGGACAGACAGAGGTTAAATAACTTTCGCAACTCGGGCTTCCAAAGATCGGTACAGGTATCGCATCCTAATTTGTCATTAGTGGGGTAAAGTTTACGCAATGCTGACACACCTTCAAACGATCTTACTGGCTACTATTAAAGCTCAGTAGCGTAAACTACTTTCGCTTAAAATAAATTTTCTGGGATTTTTAAAACGATCACGGTCAGATTAATCACAAAATTTTAATCCTTAATAACGGTCAAATCGAGTCCGCCCTCGTTTCTAAAAATATTTTATCAACAGTTGTTATCATTTGATGGTAATATAAAAAATACTAGATTACCTAAACAGTGGATCAAACGCAATTATGTAAATAGGTTTTTAAGTACTACAGAATTTGTTAAAATTTATTTGTTATCTATGAGCTAAAATGTATTCTGGTAAAAAAATTTATTAGGTGAAAAAAAAATGGTGATTTTGCACTTGATATCTTTAATATTTTAACAAAATGTGAAGGTGAAGTAGAAGTGTTGAAAGTCATCAGCATACAAATATTAAAATAAGACAACGAGGATTTTTTAAAAATATGTTATAGGTCAACAAATACTGAATTTATACTAACCTCTATTCCTTGTTGTCATAACTACTATCAAACAAAATAAACATAAACAAATTAACAGAGTTCTGAAAAATCGTCATCAAAATCATCACTATCACTAGAACTCTCACTGCTGGCTTCATTAACATTAATAATAACTGTAGGAATTACAACGTCATCCATTATAATTTCGCGGTCTAAATATTTATCGTCGACAGCTATTACATGTGCACATCTTTTTTTCCAGTCTTCTTGGGTTACTGATTTAAATTCAATTTCAGCTAACATTCATATCATTATGATAATCACAAGATTTGGCCCCAGACACAAACATTAATAAACTGTTTGAAATAAAGCCCATGTTACCACCAGCATAAACTATAATAAGTCTCTTTCCTTTCGAAATGATGGAAAACAAACCTTTTGCGTTATCATCGCCCCAATTATGTGATGATGTATGGCTACTATGTATATAAGTTTCTTCAATATATACAATGGGATGGTTTTGAAAACAAAAATATCTAATTTTTTTAATATAATCTATTCTTTTTTCCCTGATGTCAAGCCATTCTATTAAAACCTGTCTGTTGTTTCGCATTTTTCGCCACTTCAACCCAATTTTTTTTTAAATGTTTCTTAATGATGTGTAGCTTCCTTTCCACTTAATTTCCTTTTTTAATTTTTCACTAAGAGTTTTGACGTGAAATCTATGAACTATATCTCTGATTGTTCCAATATTGTAGGATGGAATATCTGTTACACTTAATGTTCTTTTGCGCTTTTTTGGACTTTTAACAATTGTTTAGGTATGGTCGACATAGACTTTTCACCTTTTGATATCTCACCTTCTATAATTATTCGTTCAATTGTTTTTACCGAGTATCCTGTAGCTTCAGCAAATTGTTCTTTAATTTCAGTGAGAGTTTTGGGATCATCGTTCACAACACATTGTCTATAAGTTTCACTATCATCGTTGTTTTTTTTTTAACTATTTGTTGCCGAGGAACATTTTTTTTTTTTCAATAATATTCAAATGAAATATTATTTCCTTTGCTACCTAAATGTTTCGGCATTTTAACACAAGTAAGTTACTACTCAAAAGAAAACACTACAAACAAATAAAAATAAAATATAACTCAAAATCTGCACGCTACACAAACACAAATGCAAAAAAAATTATAATCTACTGATCACCCCCGACAACACGGCTATTGTTTGCATCTCTCTTTAACAGTTACAGCAGGCGTTGACAATTGAAATTCGAGATTAACGCGCATTCCCTCTTCAGACAAATTAGGTTGCGATGCCTGTACCAATATTATAGTTATATAATGAATGTCACCTCTTTACTTTTACCTGAGAAGGTCCTTTCGGCTTAAAGTTAAAATTATATACGGAGTGCTGTACAAGAGTAGCTTGCCAGTTTTTAAATATTGTGTCTCACTGTAACTTTCACAAAACAAGATTTTTTATTTATCTTTTTCCTCTAAAATAGTGTTTACATTATACTATTGATATTTAAAATTGTCGTTCTATTGAAAAAATTTAAATTTAGTTTTTATTTTATAATTATATATATATATATATATATATATATATATATTTTATATTTTATAAATAATAGGAATCATGATTTTTTTCGACACCCAGTTTTCGACGGATTTTTACGTTTTGGGGTCCCCTGAATCCGTTTTGACTATTTTCGGAATGATTGTGTGTGTGTGTGTGTGTGTGTGTGTGTGTGTGTGTGTGTGTGTGTGTGTGTGTGTGTGTGTGTATGCGTGCGCGCGCGCGTGTGTGTGTATGTGTGCGTGTGTGTGTGTGTGTGTGTGTGTGTATGCGTGCGCGCGCGCGTGTGTGTGTGTGTGTATGTGTGCGTGTGTGTGGGTGTGCGTGCGTGTGCGTGTGAATGTGCGTGTGCGTGCGTGCGTGCGTAAGTGTGTGCGTGCGTGTGTGTGAGCGAGTGTGTGTGTGTGTGTGTGTGTGTGTGTGTGTGTGTATGTGTGTGTGTGTGTGTGTGTGTGTGTGTGTGTCTTTATCCACCATAACTCATGAACCGATACAAAGAAAATCACCAAATTTTAAACTTAAGCTTTATTTTGGCGTCCATTGAAGTGATTAGATTTTGAGCAGTGTCGGAACATCTGGGGGGTACTTTATACGTGGTCATTTTTATATGTAATGGAATATATCTGTTATTTACGTTTGTAGAGGAAAATTCTTTAAAAGTTACTTACAATAGTATTATCAATATTTTTTGTTCTATACAAAACTTTACTAAAATGGACCGTATTCGAGAAATTTGACAAAATGTAAATAAAATATTTTTTTTTAAATTGTTTAAATAAAAGTTGTTTGTTATATAATTCTCTATAATTTTTATCTTATACATAATTTCTCTAAAATGAACCGTATTCGAGATATTTGAGAAAATGTGAAAATTTCAAATTTTGAAGAAAACTCAAAAACGGATAAAGAAAAAACATTAAATTTTAAACTTAAGATTTATTTCGGCCTGATGTGAACTGATTAGATTTTGGACAAAGTCGGAACATCTGGGGGATACTTTATGGGAGGCCGTTTTTATATTTTATGGAATATATCTGTTATTTATGTTTGGAGAAGAAAATAGTTCAAATAGAAGTTACTTCTAATATTATTATCTATAATTTTTGTATTTTGTCAAATTTTCCTGAAATGGTCCGTATTCGAGAAATTTGACAAAATGTGCCAAATTCTGATTTTTAAGAAAATTGTTGAACTAAAAGTTGTTTGCGATATCGATCCCTATAATTTTTGTTTATAAATGATTTTTCTAAAATGGACCGTAATGGAAAAATTGTAGAAAATGTGCTAAATTTAAATTTTTTATTATTTTCGTTTTCAATAAATATCTATAGAAAAAAGTTTCGAGGTAGATGTATGTGGAAAATGTATATATTTAGTTTATCCTATAAAAATTTATATAGGTGCTGCAATAGGTTGTACAAAATAACCGGAAAAAGCCTATAATAACTAGATAGGAAAGTCATGTGTTGGACACATCAGATTTTTAGATTAATAAATAATAGTGAACTTAACTCGGCTAGCTATTCAATTTTTAATTTATTTAATTTATCCATCTTTAGAGCAATAATAATTATGTTCATCTTAGAGTGGTTTCTACGTTTTGGGCCCAAATTTTTTTCAGAATAATTTCTATTTATTTTATGTTAATATATTTTTTATGCACAGTTTATCTGCGTAAGTGTGCTACATATAAAAAACTTTTCTATTATAAGTTTTATCAAAAAATTTATTCATCATAAAAAGTTGTGCATGGTCTAAAACCTAAAATACAACCATCAGATATCAAATTTTTGAGCCGTATAAAAGGTTCGTCAAAAAATATAATTTTTTTCAAAAATAAAGTACCTTAATTTTTGATAAACCTCGTATACGACTGATAAAATTTGTTATCAAATGATTAAATTTTAGGTTTTAAGTCATGAAGAACTTTTTATGTCGAATATCTTTTTTTTCTAAAATTAATAATAAAAAATGTTTTCATATGCTGCTAACTTCCGTAAACAATTGACGGCATAAAGAACACTTTTTTCATTAATAATTTTAGGAAAAAATGTATTGTTTATTAAAAATTGTAGGTGATCTAAAACCTAAAATACAATCCTCAGATATCAAATTGTATAAGTCGTATACGAGGTTTGTCAAAAATGAATGAATGTACTCTTGATCAAAAATAGTTTTTTTGACAAACATCGTATACGACTCATAAAATTTGATATCTGATGGTTGTATTTTAGGTTTTAGACTATGAATAATTTTGAAATAAAACTACACTGTATGTATTGCAAACTGTAATGTTATAATTTTATTTTTAATGTATATTTTTATTTTAATTATATAATTTAAATTGTAATTCATTGATTTTCTTTTCTTTTTTTTTTTTTTTAAATTATACCAAACCATTTCATGAAATAAACTTGAATTTACAGCTTTTGTTTTGTTGGGCATAAATAAAACTTCAAATCAATGAAATTTCATTATTAAAATTTTATTTATTTGTATAAAATTAGATTGATTACAATATATGGCACATCAAAAATTAATCGAACCATACAATTTGTCTTAATATTTCGAGTGTACTCCGCAAGTCAATTTTTCGTTTTGTCAGTCTTCCACGATGGCATTTATTTGTCGGTCGAGATTAGTGTATTTTGTGGCTCTTTTGAAAGAAAGTTCTATAGGAATATTGCTTTCTGTCTGGAAGCAAAGCAGATTCTCTCTATAATAACTTTTGTTTTATACATTATTTCTCTAAAATGAACCATAATGCAAAAATCTTCAATTTTCTTACATCGGTCAACTTTTCGATTTTCGCTATCTGTTAACAAAAAGTTTTCCGCACTCAGCCTACCTAAATCAGACTGTAATTAGAATCAGTATACAGGAACTCAAATTTCATACCCCGTCAACGCCCGATTTGCGAACTCACAGGTACACATTTTTGTAGTGCGCTCGAGTTGCGACGAATTCAGGTAGTTTTTCATCACGCCTGAGTTGCTATCGCAAGAGTTGAGAAAGTACCTTTCTAATACATGAAAAGCATTATATTTATATGAATTGCATTGGTAGCAGTATACACACTCCCGTTTATTTTTATGGCATGAATATGTAGTCTCATCTTGGTAATCTTTGATATCACCATGGAGAAAGGATAAAGTAATATCACATTCTCAAGCTTGATGAATCAACGCACTATTCTCCTTTCTTGTAAATCCTAAATAAATCGTGACTTTTTTTAAAAAATACTTTAATCACCAATTTATCTAAAATTTTATATTATATTTAATTGTTAATTTTATTCTAGATTCGTTGGTAAAGACAAACTCTGTGAAGCAATAGAATGTGCTAATATAGTCGTTATACCAGCAGGTCTGCCCAGAAAACCAGGTAATCAAGGCATTTATGATTTAATTTACGTAGACATACGATTACCATAATGGTGAAAATTATAAATATCTTTGAACGAAACTATTTTATAGATTATAATAATAATAATAATAATTAATAATAATAATAATAATAATAATAATAATAATAATAATAATAATAATAATAATAATAATAATAATAATAATAATAATAATAATAATAATAATAATAATAATAATAATAATAATAATAATAATAATAATAATAATAATAATAATAATAATAATAATAATAATAATAATAATAATAATAATAATAATAATAATAATAATAATAATAATAATAATAATAATAATAATAATAATAATAATAATAATAATAATAATAATAATAATAATAATAATAATAATAATAATAATAATAATAATAATAATAATAATAATAATAATAATAATAATAATAATAATAATAATAATAATAATAATAATAATAATAATAATAATAATAATAATAATAATAATAATAATAATAATAATAATAATAATAATAATAATAATAATAATAATAATAATAATAATAATAATAATAATAATAATAATAATAATAATAATAATAATAATAATAATAATAATAATAATAATAATAATAATAATAATAATAATAATAATAATAATAATAATAATAATAATAATAATAATAATAATAATAATAATAATAATAATAATAATAATAATAATAATAATAATAATAATAATAATAATAATAATAATAATAATAATAATAATAATAATAATAATAATAATAATAATAATAATAATAATAATAATAATAATAATAATAATAATAATAATAATAATAATAATAATAATAATAATAATAATAATAATAATAATAATAATAATAATAATAATAATAATAATAATAATAATAATAATAATAATAATAATAATAATAATAATAATAATAATAATAATAATAATAATAATAATAATAATAATAATAATAATAATAATAATAATAATAATAATAATAATAATAATAATAATAATAATAATAATAATAATAATAATAATAATAATAATAATAATAATAATAATAATAATAATAATAATAATAATAATAATAATAATAATAATAATAATAATAATAATAATAATAATAATAATAATAATAATAATAATAATAATAATAATAATAATAATAATAATAATAATAATAATAATAATAATAATAATAATAATAATAATAATAATAATAATAATAATAATAATAATAATAATAATAATAATAATAATAATAATAATAATAATAATAATAATAATAATAATAATAATAATAATAATAATAATAATAATAATAATAATAATAATAATAATAATAATAATAATAATAATAATAATAATAATAATAATAATAATAATAATAATAATAATAATAATAATAATAATAATAATAATAATAATAATAATAATAATAATAATAATAATAATAATAATAATAATAATAATAATAATAATAATAATAATAATAATAATAATAATAATAATAATAATAATAATAATAATAATAATAATAATAATAATAATAATAATAATAATAATAATAATAATAATAATAATAATAATAATAATAATAATAATAATAATAATAATAATAATAATAATAATAATAATAATAATAATAATAATAATAATAATAATAATAATAATAATAATAATAATAATAATAATAATAATAATAATAATAATAATAATAATAATAATAATAATAATAATAATAATAATAATAATAATAATAATAATAATAATAATAATAATAATAATAATAATAATAATAATAATAATAATAATAATAATAATAATAATAATAATAATAATAATAATAATAATAATAATAATAATAATAATAATAATAATAATAATAATAATAATAATAATAATAATAATAATAATAATAATAATAATAATAATAATAATAATAATAATAATAATAATAATAATAATAATAATAATAATAATAATAATAATAATAATAATAATAATAATAATAATAATAATAATAATAATAATAATAATAATAATAATAATAATAATAATAATAATAATAATAATAATAATAATAATAATAATAATAATAATAATAATAATAATAATAATAATAATAATAATAATAATAATAATAATAATAATAATAATAATAATAATAATAATAATAATAATAATAATAATAATAATAATAATAATAATAATAATAATAATAATAATAATAATAATAATAATAATAATAATAATAATAATAATAATAATAATAATAATAATAATAATAATAATAATAATAATAATAATAATAATAATAATAATAATAATAATAATAATAATAATAATAATAATAATAATAATAATAATAATAATAATAATAATAATAATAATAATAATAATTGTTTTATAGATTAGAAAAAACTCTATACAAACATTGTTGTTAGTTAAATAATGTTCCAGGTATGACTAGAGATGATCTATTTAATAAAAACGCATCTGTGGTGAGAGATCTTGTGGCATGTGTAGCTGATACCGCACCAAAAGCTCTTATTGGAATAATTACTAATCCAATTAATGCTGTTATTCCCATCGCTTGTGAAGTTCTTAAAAAGGTATATTATTTTTTTATTTTTTTTTTATATTTGCTGACTTAATTTTGCAGACACAAATTTTATTAACTTTCAGTAGGTATTCGTTTATATTTTTTTAATATAAAAATACAACTGAATTTTAAACTTTTATTTTCCTCTTCCTTTCGAAATTAAACTGTCGAAATTTAAAAAATATATTATATGGCCCTTCTACGCCTTCGTACCATACAATACCTTGTTCAGGGCCGCCGAGAGCCAGGCCGGGCCCCAGGACAATTCTCTGGATCGGGCCCCGTGACAAAAAAAGCTCCTCAAGCAAACATCTTTCCTCCTCTACTTGAATTAGTTTTCCTAATAAAAATGCTCCTCAACCAAAAACTTCCCCTCTTGTCTTCTACCGGATTTCTCACACAAAACAAAAAAAAACTAGATGCCGGGCCCCCATTTGAGTCCGGGCCCCGGGAATTAGTCCCCGCTACCCCCCACCTGTAGTCGGACCTGACCTTGTTCTTATCTTCAGTCGTTTTCAGAGAATTTTAGCAAACATCCGCTAACCATCCGCTAACGTTACCTTAGGTATACTGTAATCTACCCCTTTGAATGTTTATGAAAAATGTCACAAGGGAGTTTTAGCAAACAGCCGCTAACCATCCGCTAACGTTACCTTAGGGATAGACTGTAATCTACTCCGTTCAATGTTTATGAAAAATGTCACAATCTAAGTTTAACGTAACGTTAGCGGAAATCTTACGTACATTTGCCAAAACTCTCTATTATCTAAGCTTAACATAACGTTAGCGGAGACACATGTACATTTGCTAAAACTCTAATAACCGACGGTTAAAAACTTGAAGAAAGAGAGAAGTCGGCTGAGTGTACACATACCGGTTGTTTTGATTCGTGCCAATTGTCAGTTTATCAGGATGAACCGTACGTGCTTGTTAGCAGTGGCCTTAACAGTGAAGGAAAAAGATTGCGAAAAAGGAAAACTTCGCAGCAAATGGACTGAAAAATGGTTACTTAAACGCAGTACGTTGTCGCATACAAATTTGTAGGAGAAGCTATGATTCGGATCTGGCGATTGGCACAATTATTTAATAATGGACTAGGAAACGTATCGGAAACTGTTAAAACTAGCAACTCCTTTAATTAAAAGTCGTGATACTCATTTACGTGAATGCATCAGTCCGCACAAACGCTTTACGGCTACGCTGGTGTTTTTGGCCACTGGCCGAAACTATGAAGAGTTGAAATTTTTATTTTCATTTCACTCCAGGCACTAAGAAGCATTTTAGATAAAACCTGCCGTGCTTGCACCATTGAACTATATATTAAACTGGAAGAACAAAGCCGATCAACAAAATCAAGCCACATAGCGAGGTGATATTTGACACTCTGGCGCCCACACCTGCGTATCGAAATGCACTAAAAAGGAACACCAAAATTAAATTTAACACCTATTACATTCAACTACGACACCTTTTAATTTAAGAAAATCACTTAAAAATGATTTTTGATTAATACGCAGCTAAAGAAAATTATCCAATAATAATAATAATAATAATTATAAAAATAGGGCGTTATTATTAAAAAATAATATAACTTATCGTAGTACGCCCGTGACGTGACGTAGAATGCTCGAAATTGACAGTCTGGCGTCCAAATTGTTTTGCGCACCGACCATTTCTTTCACCCATGTCGGCTTAGAAATTAGGAGTAGGGTTTATGTCATAAAGCCATCCAGTTTAATATCAAGGTCGGTGGGTTGCACTCGATATTGTTCACAAACACAAGCAGCACAATTAGAGTAATGCTCACAACGCCATCGTAAAAACTGGCTGCTAGTCAAACTGTTAAATGTTTACACGAAAGTTTTGTACGATAGCCTTGTCTGAAATTTTGGAACGACAAGCATAACCAACGGGTAAACAAAACGTATAAGAACGAGGTTTATGGAACCCTTAAAGCAAAAGAACGTGGTGTACCTTTTTTGTTATCTCTGTCTCTCTATCAATTCTTAACAAGAGTTTTCCAACTGGGGTTACCCAAGTCCTATGTACTAAGAAAACGTTATAAAAACTATAACACCATAATTACAACTGTTCTGCCGTTGTACTAGAAACGCAAAGAAACTCTAAAATGTTCCAACGTCTAGCACATTATACAGGGTGTTAAAAAAAAAGTGTCACAAAATAAAACGGGGGGTAGTATGGGCCAAAATATGCAGAAAAGTCTTAATAAACATATGTCCGCAAATGAATGGTTTCAGAGAGTGTTTTGTGTTTTGTATCATTTTTTGATTATCTTTTTTCATTCTCAAAAACTTGCTTTTCTTATCGGAGTCTACCGATGTTTTTTCATAGATACTATTTGCAGTTATTATTTTGTTGTGGGTGAATAATTTTATAAATTTTCGTTATGCCTGTTTACACTAATATTGAATTAGCTGACATGCATTTTATGTACGGTCGTGCAAATGGCAATGCATTGAAATGGAGGGAGGGCACTTTGAACATCTCATTTAACTCTATGTTGTTATTGATTGTTTATAAATATCATTGTTTTTTTATAATAATAAAAAATTGTTATAAACACAAAATGGTCCGTATCTCCGAAACCGTTAATTTGCGGTCATATATTTATTAAGACTTTTCTGCTTATTTTGGGTCATACTATTCACCATTTCATTTTGTGACACTTTTTTTTAACACCCTGTATAGCAAAATCATTAAAATCTTATAGAATCAGGGGTAATTTTGACGAAATCATGAATTTTCTGGTACATTTTTACCTTACTTAATAAAACGAATAAATAGTGCCTTCAAAAGTAACACGTTCCTTTTTTCAGTTATAATCTCTCGAAATTTTTCTTGAACTTATTCTATTGTTTTAAATTTATAGATATTAAATTGATACATTGAGTTGTACAGTTTGTAATACTATTAATTTATTTTGTATATTCTGTACCTGTCATGTCTTTATCCAGAAGGTTAGGTTAGGTTGAAAATGAGTGGGAAGATCTCATCGGCTTTCACTGCTACCCAGATGGATCTATTGTGGCTCATGACTATCTTATTGTTCACCGTACACCAGACCTTTTGATGAAGGCCATGATCGAATTAGGTGAGACTTGTTTAAAGTCGTTAGGCTCCAGTCGGATAAATCCGAAGATCTGGAAGCTGGTTCTTTCCATAAAATGTGCTGCAGATTTGTCTTCAATGCTGCAGAATCGACAGACCGATTTTTGTTGCTGGCCTATCCTTCTTATGTGGTTACCTAGACGACAATGTCCTGTTATCAGTCCCGTGAAAATGCGTAGATCATTGCTATTCCATCAACTCTTTCGCTCCCAATTCTATAGCAATCATTTCTACTTGGAAAATCGTGGCCAGAAAACCTAGGTTTATTGATATATTAACTCTTGACCCCTGGCCGAAAACTCCCGCTCCTATTCCTTTTTCAGTTTTGGAGCCGTCCATTTTTATCCAATCGGGAGTGTCAGGTGAGTTTTTTATCTAGGATGATCCCCAGATATTTCACCTCCTCTGCAAAAGGAATGGTTTCCCCAGCCAAGCTTTGTCGTCCTTTCTTCTCTTGGTGAAGGGAATGAAAACAGTTTTACGGAGGTTAACAGACATCTGCTCCCTCTCGTACTATCTATTGATATCGTATTTGGGGCTTGTTGAAGGATGTTGGAAATCACCTCTTAGAACTTTCCCCTAATTTATCGAGAATAGTTTTTTCTAGTAATTCTCCGATTGCATAATTTAGGTATTTCTTTAATGCTTATTTCTTTAATTTCCTTATTTTCTTTGTCTTCTGTTTAATAGCATTAAAATTACATTGCATTGTATTCTCATAAATGTTTTCGTATTTGTAACCAGTACCTTGATTTATTTTTTTTTTTAGTTCTATTTTTCTAGTTTTTTAGAAAAACTAGGAAAATACTTGAAAGTAAATAGTAGTTTCTCTTATTTTGCTAGAACACTAAAAATTGAGTATCATTAATGACTTTTAGAAATGTAAATTGGATCCCCGCCGTGTTTTTGGAATAACCACATTGGATATTGTTCGTGCTAACACTTTTGTTGCTTCATTATCTGGAGTTTCACCCCTAGAAGTTAATGTTCCTGTCATTGGTGGTCATTCTCCCGAAACAATCATTCCAGTGTTTTCCAGAGCTACTCCAGGTGTTAAGGTGTCTGAAGATAAAGTTAAAACATTGACGAAGAGAATAAAGGAAGCAGGTACAGAGGTGAGTTAAAGATATTTTATAGGAAATTAAGTTATAATTTTTCATTTGTGATAAAAATTATAGTGCGTTCCGAGCAGTTAGCAATTAATTTAATTTTTTACTGTAAGAATTGTCAAAAAAGTATAAACATTTACTTTAAAAAAGTTCTTGACGTATTCACTTCAACAAAATATTTTAATATAATACAAGAAGTGCCTAATTACATATTAAGGAATGAATATTATTGTAAGCCAGGTTTTATTGCACCAGTTCCAGTTCTAAAAAATGAGTTCTATAAATGACTCACTATTTCTTCCATTTTGGGATTTTATGCCTTTTTTATATTCAATTTTTCTGCTACTATTAAAGCACTCAAAAAAACTGCATTTCTAGAGGATCTTCTGCAAAAAGATCAGTACGGGCTTTTAATGAAAGTTCCTTTACGCTAAATGCACACATCGTACAATTTGACGTGCTGCAACCTGTCATTGTCGACGGTAAGTTGACGCGTATCTCAGAGATAAGGAAGATAAAGATAGGAAACGCTTATAAGAAGCCAATGCTTAATAACGACCAGCTTTAACGCAGTTAACATCTAACCCACTATGTGGTGCTTTCGTCGATATCAAACAACGCTGCAGGAAATTTAAAAACCTGATAATAAAGGTTGTATAAATATCGACTGCACTATTATACGCCGACACTCGAACGGCGGATAAAACTATTGAAATATAGCAAGTTTCTAGACATTATGAAACACTATACGTAACAACTGTGGGTCCGCTGAAACTAAAATTTTTTTTTACCTTAAAATTTGTTGTCGGGTCTCCATCATAAAACAAATGTGAAATAAACCATTTTCACTGATTTCTTGTTGTAGAAACGGCTAAACATCAATATTAGACCATTCATAGAGCAATAAACCATACCAAAGTTTTTCATAAACGATCAAATTTTCTTATTTTTCATTTTTAGTTTGTTAGAAAAACAAATAAACAGTATTTTTTTTTAATGACAATTGACGTTTATAGTTTCTATAAATGCGGTTTTGCCAAATCGAGTAAGAAAACATATACGTCAGGAAATAATTCGGTTAATGAAAGTTGGCTGAAAAAATACATAGTGTCTGACCAGCAGGTGAATTTAAATCCCGAAGTGAAAACATTTGTAGTAATCACAGACATCCGTCTTTTTATTTCATTTCATGATGATTGTGCGTCGGCATGTCGGTACTTATCTAATATTTGTAAAAAATACTTTTTTTTCAATTTTAGCTGTGTCCAGGCCGTTGGAGTCTATGCCAGTCGGCGTAGCCAGGTATGGGTTAAAATTTTCAATTACAAGAAGTCGTTGCTTCGTCTTATTGTATATTTTCTTATTAGGTGCCCACGATAAAGACACGTTCGTTAAAAGTTGGAATCAAAGTTCACTAGTGAGGGTTGGTTAGGTTAGGTTAGGTTAGGTTAGGTTAGGTTAGGTTAGGTTAGGTTAGGTTAGGTTAGGTTAGGTTAGGTTAGGTTAGGTTAGGTTAGGTTAGGTTAGGTTAGGTTAGGTTAGGTTAGGTTAGGTTAGGTTAGGTTAGGTTAGGTTAGGTTAGGTTAGGTTAGGTTAGGTTAGGTTAGGTTAGGTTAGGTTAGGTTAGGTTAGGTTAGGTTAGGTTAGATTAGGTTAGGTTAGGTTAGGTTAGATTAGGTTAGATTAGGTTAGGTTAGGTAAGGTAAGGTAAGGTTAGGATAGGATAGGATAGGATAGGATAGGATAGGATAGGATAGGATAGGATAGGATAGGATAGGATAGGATAGGATAGGATAGGATAGGATAGGATAGGATAGGATAGGATAGGATAGGATAGGATAGGATAGGATAGGATAGGATAGGATAGGATAGGATAGGATAGGATAGGATAGGATAGGATAGGATAGGATAGGATAGGATAGGATAGGATAGGATAGGATAGGCTGGGTTAGGATAGGCTAGGTTAGATTAGGTTAGGTTGAGTTAGATTAAATTAGATTAGGTTATTTCATGATAATTGTGCGTTAATTACGGCATGTCGTTACTTATCTAGTATTTGTAAAAAATTCTTTTTTAATTTGAGCTTTGTCCGGGCCGTTGGAGTCTATGCCGCTCGACGTAGCCAGGTATGGGATAAAATTTTCTGGTGAAAGTAGTCGTTGCTTCGTCTTCTTATTGTATATCAATATTGACGTCGAAGAGTACTCTGCCGATGAGGATGAGGAAGAAGATCTTCATATGGGTATTTTTTTAAATCGTTAGTTTTATATAATTTTTCTGATACTGAAGTCAATTATTGGTTGGCCTAGTACAACACAGGGCATATGTAAAAATGATCATTGCAATGTAATAATTGATATGGCAACATTGTATTTCTTTTAGACACATGTCACACTCAATGTCAATTGTAATTGAGTTCATGAAAATTTTGACGAACTTTAACCTGCTCGTAAATTAAGAAAATAAACTGTTTATAAAAAAATTTGGAATGGTTTATTGCTTTATGGATGATCTAGTATTATTATTTAGCAGTTTCTATAACAAGAAATTAATCAAAATTATGTAGTTCAAATTTTTTCAACATCGAAATTAGAGGACACATTTTAAAGTTTTAAGGTAAGAAAAAAATATTTCAAAGCGTTTGCAGAGCAAAAAAAGTATTTTGAAACGTGTTTCGGATGGTCTTAAATGGTCTTTAAAAAAATAACCCATTCGACTGTTGGCGGATTTTTACGATTAAATATTGTAAATCTATTCATGACAAATAGTTTTTAATTTTTGATCGTTATTTGTAACATTACATTTTTGTTCTTATTTTCCAAACGAATGGTCAATAGGACTTATTTAAAAATGTTGAGTGCAAACTTAGTAATGGGAATTCAGATGTTTTTCTTCGTATATCAAATCTTCTTTCTAACGTTTTAAAGCCATTTTCTTGTTCTAAAACAATAAATAATAAATAAATACCTACTTTGTGACAAAAGTTGGTTATTATTTGTGTTACTTACATGACTAGATCTTACTTTGGTTAATTAAAGAACACCACATTAGGGTTGTTAAATTTATTAATTATTATTATTAATGCAATACGTTCTTCGACTTATTGTAATGTCACAAAATATAATTATTGTCGTCAAATTTCACACAAAAACAGCCACAACCATTTCGCTTAGTTCATCTAGAGGATAACACAATCATGAACTAAAAATTTAAATTTAGGATTCTTCGATATACATAAAACTAACTGACATTTATATTAACAAACTGTCCACTGCTGTCCACGTCTAATGTCTGTCTCAGTGTTGCCAACCGTACAATTTTAATCGCATTTATACGATTTTTTACCTCTCTGTACGATAATATGATTGCATCAGTGAGATCGTACGTAAAAAAAACGATCTTCCCTTTTTTAGTAGGTTTATTTAAATATCTGCAACAACTTCAGAACATAAAACAATAAAAATCAAAAACTACTTGCAATTATTCATACGCGGTTTGTAATTTCTGAAGGCAGTAATTTTGGTTCTCACTTATCGTGATTTTGACCATGGTAATTTTGTACCAACACCGACTATCACGGCATTAGAAAAGCTTGCATGCAAAATTTTAATCACTTTCAAGTGATAGTCATTGATTACTTGAAATGTGTTAATTTAAAGTTTCATGTATTTTCTTTAGGTACCCATTGTACGATTTTTTTATAGAAATACCATTTTTCTACTCTACTTTTACGATCTCTCAAAAAAAATATTTGGCAACACTGGTCTGTCTACAAACGACGTATACTTTTAGTTAACATCTGATACGCATATATGACGCCATCGTTGCTGCGGTCGTTGCGTTTCCTATCTTTATGTCCCTAATCTCTGACTATAAATTGCTAAAATGCCACTGCATTGTGCAGTAGACAGCAACCGTACAATGCGATCCGTCTATTTCCACCCTTAGAAGTCACTGACAGCATTGGAAATGCACACATCGCAACGAGTTGTTTGGACGGCGATAAACCCATAGAAATAGTAGATAAACTTCTATGTTCTGACTAGCGCGAAGTTTTGTCGATTTATATGCTATTGTAGAATAGAAGTAAAAGTTGGAAAGGCTTTTGCCAGTTCTCCCACTTTATACACATAAATTGACAAGTTTGCAGCGGATCTCATCGAAGTGGACGAGATACATTGGCGTACAAAATTATTTTATAGATGTTAATAACAATTTCGAGTAAATAGTTTACTAAATTGTGAATAGCTGTTGAAATTTTGTAAAATTATGATTTAAATATTATAATACATGTTTAATAATTATTTATAGTCCATAAATACATACGATTGTCCGGTTCCGCCGATAACAATTTAAAATTAATTATTCTATGAAACGACACTGGCAGGTAAACATACTGCGAAATGCGCTAGTTCAGTGATGATGTAATTATGGTTCCACTGACAATTAAAGTGACAGTAGATTTTTTGGGTGCGTTTTGTTCATACCTAAATTATATCGTTTTTTTTTTACTTTTATAAATATATTCCTAAAGTAAGTAGATAGCATGTATCAAATATACAATCGTTTAGTTACCAATTACATACCTTTAAACTATTTTTTATGACATGTAAACAATATTTTGAAATAAAATAAAAACAGTAAAAACATATATGTCAAATTTATTGATGTTTTCTTTAAAAGTTTGGTTAGAATTAAATGTCAGTGGAACCAAAATGACATCACACTGAACTAGCGCATTCACGAAGCCGTCCGACTTGTTTTGACGTTTACCCCCTCTCTATCTACCAAAAGCTTTTCCAACTTTTACTTTCGCTATATTTACTACTTCGCTGCGAATTTTTCGTCGGTAATTCGCAGCGAGCATTCACATACCTACATGTTGGTCTGGAAGGATCTTTATATCGCATGAGGTCTATAGATTGTTTCAGTTATGTAAAAATACGAAAAAAACAGCTCATTATAGTTTAATACTGTTACGAAGTGATTTTATACTTGCTTTAAGTGCACTTAGTGTTGAATTTTTGTTGAAACAACATAACTGACCTGTATGCGAACTTCATTTTGTTAAAAAGTAAAAAATGGCATCTAAAAAATTTTATTCCAATGAACTTTTTATTTTTTTATGTCAAATTTGATACCAGTTTGATTAAAGTGGAGAACCTTCCAAAACACTAAAAATTCATAAAAGTGAATACTTACTTTTTATTTTTTGCATAATTTTATTATATTTGATTTAATGAAATGTGATATTGTTTGCAATTAAAATTGTTAATTTATACAAATTGAATGGATGGAACGATATTTTCAAAAGTGGCGTAGATTAGTGCTACACTTTCGATGCAAAGGAAAAGACCTCTAATCTAACCAAAAAGCACTAACTGTATGACACTGTCATTATTAACCCAAGTCCGGACTCGGGTATTTACCGGTTATAATTAATGGCTTAAATATGACGTCACAGAAAGTAACCAAGAATAACCAACATCGCTTTAATTAAAAGGGTAAATACCGCAAATTGCCGGTTGATCGCTTTAGAATGGATAATATGTTTTAAAATGTATGACTGTTCTTTTGAATACTCTCTATTTCTGCCCCTACCTAATACTACTAATATTACTTTACCATTAAAATGAAAAGTTGGACGTACACGTTAAGGGTAAGTGCTAACTAATTTATAAAAGATAAGAACTGATACTCTCGTTTTCTGTTTTTTACTTACTGACTTACTATATAATTCCTTTTTTCTAAACTTGAGTCACCACTAACTAGAATTATTTAAAATAGGTAAGGTACCTACTTATTTTCGTTACTCGATTTTTTTCACGAGTACTCCCTAAAATTTGCAAAAGTACTCAATTGCTTTGAATATTATTCTTATAAGTACTCATACTCAGATAATTATGAGTACTTTGTAAAGCTACTCATTTTGAGGTATTCATAAATACTTTAATGCAGTACTCTGCCCAGCTCTGAACATTACATGTACCATTATTTATCAGTTTGTCAACCTCCTCACTTTTGCAGTAATTTAAATTAAATGAATAACTTATTTCTAGTAATAGAGTATGCATGTGTAACATGTCTGTAACATGGCTGTTCAGTTCCGTTATACAAGCTTCACCGTTATTGGTCACCTCTAAGACATTTAATTTGTAAATGCCGTTGCACCCTCAAGGAATACGACTATAATCTTAATCAAGATATTAATTTTAGATTGTTATATTGTTTTTGTTTTTGAATATGACTTTTGTACTGGTTTGAGATATGAGTTGTCAATCTTATATAAAAGAATAAACGTCTTTTTAATTCAACGAAATTTGAATATCAATCAATTCTAAACAATGGCTTTACCGTCCCACGCAGCAAGGTGCCGTCATTATGGCGTGATTTTTTGGGATTCACTCTTTAGAAACGTCATTATCCCAATTAATGACGTTACTTTGACGTCGTTTTTGCAACGTTAATTAGACGTCAATACAGACTCGTCATTATGACGTAATTTTTTAGTATTAATTTATTCGAAATACAATATCCTAACCAGTAACGTGTATTTGACGTCACATTGATGACATAGAATAGACGTCACTTAGTATTCGTCATAATTACCTTATTTTTTGGTATATTTTACTACTTAAGTGTTGAATTATAAAGAACCTAATTGGAAATCTGCTTCGTCTGAAAACATGTATATATTAAGTTTGTTCGAGCTGCAGTTTGTAAATTTTGGTGCCTTATGTTTTGATATGCATAATTAGTAACGTTCCCTTTTCTAGCATTAATCATTCAAATTTTTGTTGCCTGTCTCTTTTTAACGTATGGCTAACCCAATTCCGATGTCCTCGAAACTCAAATGGCAAAGAGTTTTGCTAATCTAGTACAATTTTACTAGATTTAATACATCCTAAAGGTAACAGGTACGCTAGAAACGAAATTTAGTACATTATCCGCTATCGTCCAGTGTAATTAGTATAAGTTAAACTAGTAAAAGTACCGTAAAGACCTAATAAATCCTAAACAATTGATAATATTCCTAAGGCAACCAGAGAGGAAACCGATCCTAGTACTTTTTTATGAAATCTGGTACAATTATTTATACCAATCTAGTACTAAACTAAAAAATATTCTGGCAATGTCATATTGTCAATTGTCATTGTTGTTTCCTGTTTCCTCCATCTCCATGATTCTCGTGACAGTCGTGACCTCGTGAACGTGGTGCATTTTTAAATTGTACTTTATTTGATAAACTGTTTTAGAAAAAGGTAAAAATAGAATGCGACAAAATAATAAAGTTTATTAAACCAAATTTGGCATTTTACAGATGTATTGCATTGTTGAGGTTGAAAAACCGGATGATGACGGTCTAGCGGTTGTGAAGTGAGCAGAAAATGGATGACGCCGCGTAAAAAACAATTCGTTTGGCCGCCTTTATAACGAAATATAATATAAGACCGGTGAGAAATGTTATACTTTTATTTTTTGATTATGGGTTCTTTCAGTGTATTTTTTTAATAGTTTATATAAAAATGAAAGATTTGTAGGGGGTCGCTTGATTTAGATACCTTTTATCATCTCGCAGGATATATGATCTTTTTTTTATTAACTTTTTATTATAAACTCAGACTATATGTATACCTCTGAGAAGGTAGTTTTTAGAGCTACTACCTAAATCGCCGGTGAAGTAATCCCCTCAGATTTTACAACTAGATACACAATTTACTTTCTATTTTTAAGAATTTTCATTGGTCTATATTTTAATAGTTCCTTTATTTTAGATGATAATGATAAGTTAATGTTCCAAATTAAAAAAAGTTGAAATTACCTCCGAGGCTGATAAAGTACCTACTAAAAGAAAAGAGGTACCAACTAGAAAGCTGTCATTCGATGATATTGAAGATGATGAAATCGTAAAACATGCTCGCCTACCCCCAATTAAAATTAAATCTACAATTTTAGGTATGTAGTGTCAGTTTCTCTAATATTCTTTTGTCATTTTATTCCTTTTGGTTTCTTGCTCATGACTTTTTTATTTACCAGTGTAATTTATTTTTTATAATATATTTTTCATGTGTTTTTTGGAATAAATAAATAAATAACTTTCATCTGCTAAGTATTTTTAATAATTCCATCCAACCTTGGGACACCCAATATAGACGTCACTTTGACGTTAGGTAGATTCGTGATAATGACGTCATTTTGCCTAGTCTGGGACACCCGATCTACACGTTACTTTAACGTGATATTGATTCGTCAAAATGACGATATAGAATGAAGTCATTTCACTGTGACATTCTCACGTTACCATAACGTTATTTTCACGTCATCAAATTACGTAACGCACACCAAAAAATCACGTCATAATGAAGACATGATGTTGCATGTGGTGTAGCAGAAACATTTGACTTACTATCTTATCTAAAATAGAAATATTTTGGATCCATCAAAGAACCCAACATTTAACTCAGTTTGAAATATTTCTTTACATTCCACATTGCGTTTCTTGCTACTCTGTTATTTACTTTCAGGTTGTAAAAGCGAAAGCTGGTACTGGTTCTGCTACACTTTCCATGGCATATGCTGCCGCTAGATTTACAAATTCCCTTCTTAGAGGTCTTGCTGGAGAAAAAAATGTAGTTGAATCTTCTTATGTACAGTCTGATGTTGTGTGCGATATCAGTTACTTTGCAACTCCTCTGGTACTTGGGAAAAATGGCATTGAAAAAAATTTGGGCGTTGGAAAGCTAAATAAATTTGAAGAAGATCTTGTGAGGAAAGCACTGCCAGTACTAAAGAAAAACATAGCGACTGGTATTAAATTTGTTCATAAATAATATTATAAGATTGGATATATTTTATTACATAATATTAAAGATCGTGTATCAAACAGAAAGTATTATTATTTAAAACTTATTTACAATGAAGAAAGAGTACATCAAACATGAAGACAAGCTATTACCGTTCATCCTCGAATGCTTCCTAGGAAGAAATACGGTATGTATCGTAGATATCGTGAGTTTATCAAAATAGAGGGTAACCACAGGTATTCGTACGAATAAGCGCGCAATGAAAGGGCTGCATCTTAGATGTGATCACGTGTGGTTATTAAACCGCATGTTACCACCTATGACCAATGCTCTTCTTTCGCTTGAGATATTTGTCTACTTTTACCACTTTATATACTTGTTGCATAAATAACTATTATTAACATTTACAAGGTTGGTGAAATTTATACCGAAAAAAAAAGCTCTGTTAAAATGTTATTTTAACAAATATATTTTCGTCGTTTTTATTAATACTCTTATACTTATTGTGAAAAAAAGATTAATTTTTTGTTGAGAGGTACTATTTTATTTTAGGTTGTAAAAGCGAAAGCAGGTACTGGTTCCGCCACACTTTCAATGGCTTACGCTGCCGCAAGATTTACAAATTCCCTTCTTAGAGGTCTCGCTGGAGAAAAGGATGTAATAGAACCATCATATGTCCAATCAGATGTTGCGTGTGGTATTAATTACTTTGCCAGTCCTCTTGTGCTTGGTAAGAATGGAATTGAAAAAAACCTTGGCATAGGAAAGCTGAACAAATTTGAAGAAGAACTTCTAAAAAAAGCTATTCCGGTATTAAAGAAAAACATTGCAACCGGAGTTAAATTTGTAAGCAAATAGGTTCTTTTGTAGTTAACGTAATATATAATTTTTTATACATATTTATTGTTCTCTTTGTAAACTCTTATCTGGTATAGAGGTAAGGAATTTCTTATGAATTGTTTTCTTACTACCCAGCTAGCACCGGACGTCGTTTCACGTCATAATCACGTTGAATTTTGGTCAAATACGTCGATGTGATTTTTTGACGCAAAAGTAACGTAATAATGACGTCATTTTTGGACCAATTTGACACGTAAATATAGTTGTTGCGAACAAAATAAACCTATTTATGTCATTAATGCACTTCGAGTTTTTGTTATTCATTATTAAATAAATAGAAGGTAATTTATACAACATCGTTTATTTAGCGGTCATTGTGACACCAAAATAAGACGTACTATGACGTTATTTAGAGACTAGTTTGTCACGTTCTGAAATGAGGCGTTAAACTGCGCACGTGTACACGTCGATTCTACACCTTTATTGTTTTACATTCAATTTATTAATAAAAGTATCTTTAGTGTTTATAATAAATTTATGATTCTCATTTTAAATCTAGGGATTTTTGGGAATTTTCATTTTTAAATGAAATTTTATGTCAACACTGTTTAGAAATGTCAGCTGTCATGTCATTGTCCAGGGTCAGGGCTGGTATATCTAAGGGGGTCGCGACATAGGAGTCCATTTTGGACGCCATGTTTTTCGAAATAGTAGTCGCCCACTGATCTGGCAACGTGGCAACCTGTAGTCGCCAGGCTTGCCAATATAAGAAAAAAAATCAATGTCTTTTTTTTAAATGACATAAAATGCCCATATTTTTTAGGATAAAATATTTCAATTTAATATTAATAATCTCACATGTACATAGAATACGTCGTGAAAAGTAGATCACTTTCAATTTTGTGCTGTTTTGGTTTATTTTAAAAGGTAATTGAAGAGATGACAATTTTCCAATAGATGATTCATAACAAATTATGGTCCCCTTTTTTAGAGCTCCAGTCCCCTAAGTCTATTTATTTTAGGTCTTTTTAAATTGTTGGTAGGTATTATTTACTTCATTTGTATGTTTTTATTTAATTTAAATAATTTTGTGTAATATCTTGCGATTTGTTTTCTATATTTGTATTTGTTGGCTACATCTTACAAAGGATGGATTTGAAATACCTTTACAACAGAGGTACTTTCCTAAAACTGGCCGAAATTTGAAACTGAATACAGTTCTTAGAGAAAATCTCCAGTAAAAAATGTCTGCATGCAGAATAACAGTAGCATAGATTAACAAAGCTGACAAAAGAGTTGGATAAACCTTTGTCTAACTTTATTAATATTTCAGGACAATAGTGTTAACAGCAGACCACAACCAAAGTTTAGTAATCAAGCAAAATATTTCAGTATCTCCATAATTATAAACGAATGAAAACTATAATAGGAAACATGTATATGGCTTCGAATAGGAAATTACCTAAATTAGCATATCTAGTGAATATTGTATTTAAAGAATATATTTTTAATCAAAACTTTTGTGCTTCTACTCCAATACTAACCATATAGAAATGCATATGCATTTTATAGTATTAAGCAAGATTCGGATCAAATGTACCCACAATTTATAAACATTATTAAACTAAAATAAAATATTTCAAATAACACCTGTTTTTTATTTAAATAAAACATGTTAAATATATGTTTTTATTAAATACATAAATTAGTCTTAACCACACTTTTTTTTGTTTTTACTTCTTGTGTAAAAGTGACAAGTTTATTATTTAAAGAGACCAGCTACTACAAAATATCCTATTGATAACTAATTTCTCTTTAATAATAGTTTTTTTTGCATTTATCAACATTTTACAGCACTTTGTTTATATAAAACATCTAGGTATTTAGCTCTTAATTAAATCACATTTAAATCAAGTAATTACATTTTCATATTCAACTTTTGTATTCTTATTAGGACTTAGTCACTTTTTTCTTAATTTGAATTGTTTGACTGTGGTAACTGAGTCCATTCACCAAACCACAAACTTGTCACTTAAAAATGTTGAAAGAGAATGTCATAAAAAAAATTCCTTCTTCTATGATGTTTTCCATGCAATTTTAGATTGTAAACGTTTTGCCCAACATCTTTTTTACAATTTATCCCAAGCAACACTATGAAAGATTTAAATCCTGGATTTACAGCATTCAGTTTTGAGATGATTGCAGTCACAACACAGTTTCAGAGATAATTTTCACATGAACACTTATTTACCACAGCACAAACGCATGTACCTATTCATGTAACATTAAAATAAAGTGGAAACAAATTGCATAATTTGGTATATAAAAAAGTACAAAATGTTTTTAGTTTTAATTTGACATTGGACTACGAGGAAAACAGTGGTTCATTCCACTTGTACTATATTGACATTATTATGCACGATGCACGTTAAAAGTAGATCTGTCTCTCGCCAAACGAACATCAGAAAAGTGTTGCCAACTTAAGCTGACTACTATTTCCCCCCTAGCCTCAGTCACCCCCTCATCCATTTACTGGGTCTATGTCGCGACCCCCTTAGATATACCAGCCCTGGTCCAGGGTTAGCGGTTCACGCCATTTTGTGTTATTTTTGTAACTTGTGTTTGCAACATTCTTTTATTGTATGATTTTGTATGTATTTTGAAGGTAAGTAGTTAGGAAGTTTAGTGCGATATTATTGTTTATTTTTAGTATGTTTATAGGAATTCAATACGCCGACAAGCACGGCACCAGAGTATCATTAAACCACTTCAAGTTCCAAGTGGCCGACATCCTAGGAAATGAGGTTCTTATAAACAACAAGAACCTTTTAACAAGAGCTTAAAAAATGAGAAAATTGGACTCTTTCCTATTTATAGAACATATTTTACCGAAGGTGAGTGATTTTTTATATTGTAAAGGTGCCTGTAGCTAGCCTAATTTTGTTTTAACTATTAACGTAGACATTAATATAAACAAAAATTTAAGGATTTTTAAACAAAACCGTTCATAAAGATAATTTAAACATACATATTCCTGACAGATCTGATTTTACTTATCTTGTTTAGCATATATAATAATAAGTTGTGAACCAACAAATATATCACTTTTGTGACAGCTTAATGATATAAAACAATTTCTGTCTTTTTCGGTCATTGCTAACTCTATTTTTTGGCTCAAATTTTATTTAAATAATGTAAGTTTCTGGTAGTTATAACTATTATATTTTTGTTTTAGTGAAACGAAAATTTAATAAGGATACCATTGAAGCTGCTTCAAGCCTGATGTATATTCGGAATGATTTGTTGAATATCTGGACACTGCTATATAATCTTTTGTAATTTATACATTCTAAGTACATATTCTAAGAAGTAATGTTTATTTAGTAATAGTTCAGGTTAGTATACTTACTATGTTTCAATTCAGAAATTTTATGCAGTAACCTATCTTTTTTATATAAAACATTTTTATTAAACATTTTTTAAATAAAACGTTTTTTATAAACATTTTTTTTTACAAATTAAACATTTTTAAATGAATATTATGGTGTTTTTTTGACGTCTAAACACGTTATCTGGTGACGTGTTTATCACGTCGCTGTATGACGTCTTTGATCTGTGACATATTGCCGTCATAATCACGTCACTAGCACGTCATAAATTGGTGATTTCGACGTAAAATGTGACGTGTATTTCACGTGAAAATCACGTGTCTGTGCTAGCTGGGTAAAGCCATATTTTTAGCAATATGTTTATTTAAATAACAGTTTTTTTTCCTGTTTCTTTTTGTTACACAAATTCGAATGCAGGTTCTTAATTTTGACGAACATTCGACTTCTAAAGAATAATTTCTATAACCAGGATAATGAGAAGGGTATCTTTGCAACTCGGAACTTTTCAACTGGGGACCTTGGGTATAAGTTGCGCATCTGGGGACGCCGGAAATTTTTACGTGGTTAGGATTCACAACTGGTATGACTCATTTATCTGCATTATTGAATGTACTTAACTACTTATTTTATGAAAATGGTGGAATTTATGTATAAGTACGATAACAAAAATTTGTTTTTAAAAAATATTTTTCATACAATATAACGCATAGCATAAAAAGAATGTACCAAATACAAATAAATGCTACATGGTGGGTGCATATACAAAATTAAAATAAAATTTTTCCTGGACAAAGTCACTAACATTTATTTAATTCTTTCATCAAGAATAACATTTAGAAATTTTAATTTTTTTGCAACATTTCACCTTTGCTGTATATTACGACATTTTCAGCCTTTAAAAGGGTACAGTCCCCAGTTAGGAAATCCCGAGTTGCGAATGAACCAACGTGAAGGTCCCTTTTATAATTACAAGGTTAAAAGTGCTTGGAACAGACTACATGATATTTTTCTGTTTTAAATTTATCTGCACGGCCACAGGACACTGAAAGGACGCCTCCAGGTAAAATTTTCAAGGGGGGTAGCATTGCCTATAACAATTCTCTTTTATTATTTTTAATAAAAGGCTAATAGATTTTAATAATTTTATCTAGTGCGAAAAGAGGACCTCCACTGGAGCCACCCTTGGGCCACTGCTTACTTCTGACCAACCTCTTACTGTTGAGGAAAGCGAAAAGACAATGTCTCTTTTAAGTCCTTTGCTTTGATTACTACTGGTACATCCGTAAATAGCGTACCTTTTTAATGTTTTTCACCAATACCACTCACAAAAACAAAGTTTTCAATATAATAAAATACAAATATCCGCCTAAAATGTTATATAGCACTAAAAACGACTTACAAACCACTGCAAAGTGCGTCTGCCATATGATACGCATGACGTCACCACAGCCATGACACCATGCGCGACATCCCCCCTGGGTCCAGACTATGACATATGATTTTTTTTAAATTAATTTTATATAGAAATATAAATATCTATTGGAGCTATAATTAAAAAATATTTTGGAATTTATGGCGTGCTTTCAAAAAGTTTCTATCTAAAAAGTATTAACATTAAAAAAATTTAGATATTACAACTATTTTAATCACTTAGTACAATATAATATGAA